TCTAAATAATTCCAGCAACTGAACTTTTACTTGTTCTGTTTATATTAATGCCTAGTACTTGATGCTGACATTGAAACATTACAGTCACATTGAGAAGTTCCATCATTTATAAGCATTATCCAAATTGAAATTAATGTCTGGATTTACATATATTACCAATACAGCTATAAGTCATACACAAAGCTATATGAGTCACTAATTTGTTTACTGAATAAATTTCTTTTTTACTCCAAATTTAATTTCATATCTACTAGAAAGATTGATTATCCTTGATTATCCTTCTGATGAAAATATACACCTTTCCTTAAAAAGGCTTGGGACCCAGGGATTAAAACAGGTTCCTCATTTTTAACATTTCACATTGGAAATATTTTGAAGAACCAGACTGTATAGCTGAAATGCGAGAGCCTAGAAGACATTTCACATATTGCTCATTCTGTTATTAATTTCTGTGCTTGGTGTTGGATCAGGGTACTAGTAAAGGTCCTCACCATCTTTGTTCAGAAATGTGGCTGCAAAAATCAAAACAAGACTACAAAACTGGCGTGCAGTTCACAAGAGGTGACCTTTGATTTCTGGTAGTAGCTTTTACTTGCTATCAGTGGAACCTCTTCTGTCAACACCACTAGTACATTGTTTCTCCTCACCTTTTCCAACCCTACAGACAAGTAATCTAGAGATCTAGTTCATCTGACTCTAATGTCCAATCTATCCCAAAGCAAACACCGAAAGCAAACTGTCACCTGCTGACATTGTTACAAACCCTACGACCAGAATACAGCTTGTGCTCTCCTCAGAAGATGACGTTGCAGGTTATGGGCTGAATATCTGTGGTCCCCCAAAATTCCTATGTTAAATCCCTAACCCCCAATGTGATGGTTATTGCTAAGTAATTAGGATTAGATGAGCTCATGTGGGTGGGGACTTCATGGTGGGATTATTGCAGGACTTTTCCTTAGTTCAGCTAACGATGAGGTCCTTGTCTGTCCTATGGCCATGAAAATTCAGGTTCGCAGGCAGTTTGAAGGATGAGTAAAACAGGGTTTTATTATGTGAAAAGGAAGAAAAAAGGGGGAAAAAGGACTCTTGCTAGGCTGGAGTCCCCGCTAGAGCACTTTCTGCAGCAGTTCCTCACAGGAAGAGGAGGGGCCAGGCTCCTACCTGCTGCAAACATGGTGAACTTCCTGAGCCTCTACCTCATTGGTCAGGCTAGTTGGAGTTTTTCCAAGAACGCCTACCCACCTGACTGTCTCAGGATTAGCCAAGACGAGATGCCTAAGAATGAAATCTACTTTGTTGGCATCTTGATCTTGGACTTCTCAGCCTCCAGAACTGTGAGGCATACATTTCTACTGTGTAAACCACCACTCTATGGTGTTTTGTTATGGCAGCCCAAGCCAGCTAATATGATGTATATGCTTGTACTTTGCTTTCCAAGACCTGTATGCTGCAAACACAGCCAACAAAACATAGGCTGCTATTGGGTTTGGGTGACTATGTTAGTTCCTATGGTAGCCATAACAAATTACTGCAGTTGTCGTGGTTTAAAACAACAGAAATTTATTCTTACAATTGCAGAGCCAGAATTCCAAAATCAAGGTGCCAGCAGGGCCACATTCCCTCTGAAGGCTCTAAGGAAGAATCTTTCTTTGCCTCTTCCAACTTCTGTTGGCTGCAGCGGTTCCTTGGCTTGCAGCTGCATAATTCTAGTATATTTCCATCTTTACATGCCTTTTCCTCTTCCCCAGGACGATCACCTCTCTTGTTCTTTAACTTAATTACATCTGCAAAGATGCTTTCTCTAAATTAGATCACATTCACAGGTTCTAGGGATCAGGACGTAGACGTATCTTTTTGGGGATCACCATCCAACCCACTACAGATGACTGTGTAGCCTAGAAAAAAGAGTGATAAATTATATTTAGAAACAAAACTGGCAAAAGAAAATTCAAAAATGAATTACGTGAGTTTCAGATCCATCACTCCATACTTTGTCTTCATAAAGACTTCAGCCAATGGAATTTCCATATTGTTGGAAAGAAAATAACTTCAAAGCTACTGAACTGGAAACTTAATATTTTATTTCCCACTTAGTGACAGGCTAAATGATAAAGGCTGCAAAGCATATTGTGTTTACATGCAGTTCCCACTTTGCTGCAATTCAACTTTGGCAACTTCCACTTACAGTGTTCAGCCAATTAAACCTCTCTTATCAACTTAGAGTATTTACAGCAGGGAGGCAACACACAATTAACGTTCTCTCTGTTAGTCAACTGCCACATGTGCTCGAACGCCCAGCCTCAATCTGTTTCCACAGTTCCTTTTGTGTCTAAGGCCTTTTCCCATGGCTTATCAGTCTGCCTCCAAAGCAAGGGAATTGGGGGAAGAGTTGTTGGTCTCCTGGCATAAATGGCAAAGGAGGAAATAATTATGGAGCCAGGCAAAGCAAAATAATCATCACAAACGTATTTCACAATGATTATCAATAGTGCTGTATTAGTATTTGTTGAATTAAATTATTCCATTGTCACTATAAACAAGGAAGGTATGGAGAAATTACTAAACTTATAGGTAATTACACTGGTGTTATAGAGTTGAACTACCCTTCCAAGACCATACAGTTTACAAGTGGCACACCAAAATAAGTGAGATTATTTTGAAAAAATACCTATGCAGGCATTTTCTAAAAGAGGTAGATTTCTAAAATACTTTAAGCAATGGATGCGTTGTTTGAATAAGCCTATAGCTACCAAAAGGAACTATCCTAAACATTACGCTGATTTAGTTGAAATTTGCTAAAACTAAGTTGTTTCTTACAAGAAACGTAGTCCACCTTTGAATACCCTTTAAAATGGAACACATAGTATTAAGTAACAATGGCAAGCTTCTACCGAAATATATTTGACAAGTGTCTAAGATGGAAAAAAACCTAATTTTGTGAGTTGAAACTCAAACATAACATAGTTTGTATATAAGACTGACGTCAACTTAGTCCAAAGAACTTGAGATATTGTGATCTGGAAAAGCCAACAGTGATGAGGAACCAAGGAAGAGAGATATCTGGGCAATTTTTATAGGTTCATCCATGTTGGCTATAGTCAGGCAACCCAATGCCATTAAGCACAAGATAAGTTGCCACCAAGGATCTTCTACTTAAAACCATCAGAAGACCCAATAACTTGATTAATAGAGAATGTGCTTTGCAAAGAGCACTTGAATAAAGACACAAAGGGCATGAAAGAAAGATCCCTATAATAATTCTAGAACATGCTCAAATGTCTCCAACTCTCTTCAACAGTATTTAAAGACTCTCTAAAATTCTTCTCACAGGGAAGTATTCCTCCGGCTTATGATTCCTTGAAGTAATAATTGGGAGAAATTATGAAGAGGAAAACGTGTGCTCAATATTAACATTCTATAAATGTAAATAAAATTTATAAATTACATAAAATTGTAAATAAAAATATGCTTTATAACAAGTGATTTCTGCCTCACTTAATAGTCTTATAGAAAGATGCACACTCTATGGGTAATCCCACTTATAGATGGTTACATACACTGTTTACTAACATTCTTCTAAAAATTGTACAGGAATATAACTAAATCAACTGTATTGGTTGTGCGTTGTACAACTCCAGAGAACACCATTCACATAGACCACAATGTGAATGATGCCTCCAGGAAATACACATGGCCTGACCACAATCCCCTTGTTTCCTATAAGACACATATCATAGCAACATAGAAATTCCCCTTTTCCCATAACATCCCATTTTTCAATTGTGATAGTTATTTACATAAAAATTTCCTCTCTGTGCACTTTCTGAAATTAGGTTTATAAGAGTACCAATACATGCAGGCAGACATTTGGATGTTCTTTCTCACTGAAGGATTCCCTAACAACTACTGATCCATCTTTGTTTTTGAGGTTTCATTATCAGACATTTAGTGACTGTTAATCCTATATTTTGTAACATGGAGATTGTTCCCTACTCATTCCTCATTCTTTTTTACTACTTTCTCTAAGGCTCATTGCCTGCAAGAAAACAAAACAAAACAAAACAAAACCCCTAGATTTCTTCAGAGAATATGAACTATTTACACAAATTGCATAAACTTGTTACCTTATTCCTCCAAAAATCTGAAAAACATTTTTATTTTCAAATTTTTCCCACCCTAAGTGTTATACATGTGGAGAAGTGTTCTTACTTCTCCAAATGACCACTAAGTTATCCAAGGTATTTATGTGTTGTATTAGATCGCTATTACTACAATAATGCTGTAGAAGAAACAGCCTCTGCCAGGCGCAGTGGCTCACGCCAGTAATTCCAGCACTTTGGGAGGCCAAGGCAGGTGGATCATGGGGCCAGGAGATCCGGACCAGTCTGGCCAACATGATGAAACCACATCTTTACTAAAAATACAAAAATTAGCCAGGCGTGGCAGCACGCACCTGAAGTCCCAGCTACTCAGGAGGCTGAGGCAGAAGAATGGCTTAAATCTGGGAGGCAGAGGCTGCAATGAGCTGAGATTGTGCCACTGCACTCCAGCCTGTGCAACAGAGTGAGACTCCATCTCAAAAAAAAAAAAAAAGAAAGAAACAACCTCAAAATCTCTGTGGTCTACAATAACATTTAATTTTCTCTCCCATAGGTCTGTGAAACAGCGGGGGCATTTCCTCTTCAGACTGTGGGTCAGAGTCAGGTCTCCTCATTCGGGGACTAGCAGCTTCACCTGGGCATGTCCTTTTCATGACAGGTGGCAGACACAGGGCAAACCAAACAAGCAAGTGCATTGAAAGCTACTGAGTGGACTTGTTTTCTGTCTAAGATCATTGGCCAAAACAAGTTGACAATAGCGGGGTAGAGAAGTACACTCCACCTCAAAAGGGAGCTACTGCAATGTCAAATAGCAAAGGCCTTATGAGCAAGAAACAAGTGTGAACAATAATCCAATTCATCCTATATAGAAATCTCAAATCCATTCTCTGTCCTTTACAGGAGTTGAAATTGATTGGACTGGATATCCCACACTTTGCTGCAGATCTTCCACTGAATCGATGTAAAAACCGTTACACAAACATCCTACCATGTAAGATGGTCAATTGCGCCAATGCTACTCATGTCTTTTAAGGGTTGAAAGTCTGTTATTGCAGATGAATCAATTTCTGACCACACCCAGTTGTGGTCCAGATCTCAAGGCCATCTCTGAGATTCCATTGATCTCATTTTGATGTCTTTAGATCTTACCATATGGAGAAGGATTTAATTATTGTACTTTTAAATGAATTGCATCTGAACAAAAAGGCTGACCATTTGGCCCTTTACAGATTAAAGGGTCATAGTCAAATTGGCCCTTGGATAATGTGTACTCTCATAAAATATTTTCAACCAATTCATTGATAACAGAAAGAGGCAAATTGAATGGCAATGCAATGTATTGAAATGCCTTCTCTAACTTCTGACAAGTTATATAGTTGCTTAGCATTTTGTAATAAAAAGCAACATTCAGGAAGAAAAGGTAATGTAAAGTACTTACAAGACTATTAAAATATATGCCAGTATAGATTTCACTTTTCTCTCTGCTACACTCTTGGGAGCTGGGCACAGTGAGAAGAGGAAGGCTGGAAAAGCTCTAGAAAGAGAAGTCTCCTCTTGTTATGGCGTCTTGATGAAATCAGATATAGATGAAATTAGAGAATATAATTCTCTGTGAGCCCTGGTTGCTGAAACTGCCGTTAGTAACTTGAAACCAATGTTATCCAGTAGCAACTACACAGTTCAGAAATTACTTCTTTCATTTAATGTCCACCTACAAAAGAAACCTGTGCTTCTTCTCTTCTCTAGGTCTCCCCAAAGTAGTGAACTCTCTGTATATCTCTAGGTGAAATGAAAATCGTGTGTTTAGGCTACATACTATAGCTGTCCAATCAATCTCACAGATATTTTAGTTCCTGTAAATATTCTGCATGACCCCTAAACAATCCTGGGAACAATTCTTTCAAGGACAAGACAGCTGGTGGTGAAAAAAAAAAACAGTGGTTGGAAGATGCTCATTTATTTAAACAACAAACTAAGGTTAAAAAATGGCTAAAATATCAGGCTAAAAATTATTACTCTGTCACTGACTGATTTAAATTTATATTGGGTAGAGAAGGCCAAAATAATTCTTTTTTCCATCCTGAATTTTAATATTTTTTTCTCCTTATTCTCTATAGATGACTTCAGCCGTGTGAGATTAATCTCCATGCACGAAGAGGAAGGTGCAGACTACATCAATGCCAACTATATTCCTGTAAGTAGAAAAGAATCAGGCACCCCAATGCTAACCCAGCCACAGAAAGACTGCAGAGCTATATGGACATGTCAAACAGTTCAAAAGAAAGCAGCCATTCCCAACCCAGCAATCGAATTCTAAAAGGTTTGCATTACTCCATTTCATAATAAAGAACAGGAAAAAAAAGCCCATAGATCAGTAATGTTCCTATTTCTTTATAAAGGACCAGTGAAAGGGAAAGTACAAAGGCTAAAGATCACCTTTCTTGTGTTTAAATTTCAGTTTCAGCAGCCAAATTCAAAGGGTTCCACCCGAGCACCTGCACTCTTAAAATACAAAGATAGTCATTACTGTCATAAAAAGGTGTGCATGTGATTTTTATAGTCTTCTGAAGAACAGTGCTTAAAATCGCACAGACTAATTATGGTCAGTTACTCCGATAGCCTCTTTGATGCAAAAAAGAGAAAACGTTACATAAGCACCTGATCCTTTACCAATTTTATCACCAGTAAATTTTCAGTTTTTTCCCATAGGTGTGGAGCAGCATTTGGTGTTGACAGTAGCTGGTTAGGTGATAATTTTGTCACTTATCTTTCAGGGCTACAACTCACCCCAGGAGTATATTGCCACCCAGGGGCCACTGCCTGAAACCAGAAATGACTTCTGGAAGATGGTCCTGCAACAAAAGTCTCAGATGATTGTCATGCTCACTCAGTGTAATGAGAAGAGGAGGGTATGTGCTTACTGAAGCTGTTCCTGCTTAGCAGCAAAACCTGCCCCAGCCACTGCCATTGATGAAGTGCTTGCTGTTTTCAGTCAAATGAAACATAGAGACAAATCGCTAAATTTAAAACATTTTATTCGGGAAGCAAGAATTGCAATTTGGGGGCAAACACACAGACCCAGTGGTCTTTGCAATGTCCAGAGAAAAAAGAGAAGGTTGGAAGTCTTCTAAAAAGGATAAATATTGCATATTGTTTTGCAGGAAAGTTCATTAGCATTAGTAAAGTTTTGGGGAGCTGGCAAGCTCTGATTGGTGAGTGATGGCAGTGGGTAAAACTAGTCTCAGACTCCCAGCAGGTTGCTTCAGTTGCTATCAACCAGAGCTTACAGAGAATTATATTCCTGGAGCAATGCTATGCGTTCTGAGTGCTTTTTTTTTTTTTTTTTTTTTTTTTTTTTTTTTTTTTTTTTTTTTTTTTTTTTTNTCTCGCTTTGTCACCCAGGCTGGAGTGCAGTGGTGGGATCTCGGCTCACTGCAACCTCCACTTCCCAGGTTCAAGTGATTCTCCTGCCTCAGCCTCCCAAGTAGCTGGAGCGTTCTGAGTACTTTATCCTCTGACCCCTCGACTCTGTTTCAGTTAGGTACGATAAGACTGACCCAAGTCATGTGATAAGAATTCACACTATGTAGCAAAACTGATTGTATTTGCTTTGTGCTTCATCTTTGCAATGGTCCTATCTAATTTTTCAGAGGTGAATACCTTTGTGTTCCCTAAGTGAGCTCAGACTTAATTTCTTCCCTAGTCTGTTTTAAAAAAATTGTTTTGCCCTTGCTCCAGGTGAAATGTGACCATTACTGGCCATTCACAGAAGAACCTATAGCTTACGGAGACATCACCGTGGAGATGATTTCAGAGGAAGAGCGGGACGACTGGGCCTGCAGACACTTCCGGATCAACTATGTAAGTCACCAGGCAGAGAGCGGTGCTGTCCCTATACTGACACCAACACCACTGCCCAGCAGGTGCTGGGAGCCCCACCCAAGTAGCACTTTGGCCTTTGCAATGCTGCTTTCTTCAGGAGGAAAAATCCACTCTCAGAATCATTATTTCCCATTTCATCAGTGATGGTGTGGATGATATGGTTGGTCTGGAGAGCCTGAGAAGATACAGTAAAAGGTGCACAAGTTCATCTTGAATTAGCTCAGGATCATAGGAGACTATTCATCATTGCCTATCAGGGATCATTGACGACAGAAGTGTTCTCATTACTTATATTAATCATATATGAGTATAATTAGGGTCTATAAGCCATACTTACATTTTAAATTAAGTGATTAAACCATGATTTAGTAGTTTGGGTTTTGTTTGTTTGTTTGTTTGTTTTTCTTATTTTGTTCTGGTTTGGTTCTCATTATATGGAAGGTACTTCTAGGTCTTAATAATCATATTTCCCTATTTCTCTTGAAAGGCTATTGATTTCTGATTGATAACATGTCCAGAAAAGCCTGTTTTTCTCACAAGGCCTGCCACCTTTCTGCTGACAGGTCTCTGAGCAAACGCTGAATATTTCTGTGCCAGGCTAACATCAACCAAAGTCATGCCATTGACTTCAGCCTGTAGAATATAGAGGAGTTTTTACTATTAATAGTCTTCTCCACTTGACCGTGCTCCCTATGAAGACAAAATTGAATAGGAAAATTCTCATTGACTGTTCTTCCCTGCTTAGAAACAATCCTTTCTAATAGTTGAGGAGATAGGAAACTGCAGCCTATGGACCAAATTTACCCACTGCCTGTTGGATAAAGCCCATGAACTAAGAGTAGTTTTGACATTTTTTAATGGTTGAAAAAAATCAACTGAGCACTGTGGTTCATGCCTGCAATCCCAGCACTCTGAAAGGCTGAGGCAAACGGATCACTTTTGCCCAGGATTTCAAGACCAGCCTAAGCAATGCAGGGAGACCCCATCTGTACTAAAAATAGAAAAATTAGCTGGCGTGGTGGCACACCTGTAGTCCCAGCTACTCGAGAGGCTGAGGTGAGAGACTCGCTCGAGCCCAGAGGGTGGCAGCTGCAGTGAGCTGAGATTGTGCCACTACACTTCAGTCTGGGCAACAAGAGCAAGACTCTGTCTCCAAAAAAAACCAAGAAAAATAGTATGAAAAACCATAAAAAATACTATGAACAGAAGAGCAGAAGATCAAACACCTCATGTTCTCACTCATAGGCGGGTGTTGAACAATGAGAACACATGGACACAGGGAGGGGAGCACTACACACTGGGGTCAG